GATCTATTTATTACCAGAAAATGCACACACACGTGCGATTACTCGAGATTGTGTTTGACTTGTACGAGTAACAACACGAGCAGAAGAACAAGCCTCCCAGCTCGACTTTCAAAGTTTGCACTTATTCCGTATTCATGGATAAAAAAAAAACAAAAAATATGTAAGTGGGCTGCTGCAACGCATGAAAGATATTTTACATAAAAAGTCCTCTCTCTCTTTCTGGAAGCGAACGTAATTTATTAAAACATTTTCAGTTGTCATTTACCCTGACAAACAAAACGTTCCAGGAGAAGAATTAAGTGTTGTGTCATTTGTGAATAACAACTGCTGTCACCCCAGTTGAAGAGGATCCCATTATGATCTATTGTTTATTCATAGCCAAATCAGAATCAAAGAAGTCACTCCGGTCTTAGGGCTCCTCACTTGCTGCTCGTTACTTGCATACGGAGTAGATGTGAAAGGTTCAAGTCAACATTTTGCTCATACAGACATAAAGTGAGTCCAACCAACTTCTGGTTTGCATCATTATGTCGAGAGGGAAAGGGTGGTCAACGGTGTGTGACTTGCAACTTCTGCTGACTTTCTCCTTCTTCTTCTTCTCCTCCCGTCTACGTCGTCTTGCTCTTTTTGTAATGCAGAGTGAGTGACTACGTGGCAGTTGGAGTCGCAGTTGTTGCTGTTTTACTTTATTTTTCTCTCTCAAACACTTTCCTTCTCGTACAAACTTGATTTTTTTTTCGCCCAAACTATACTAATTTTAATGTGTAGGATCAGAAAAGAGCATGCACACACTAGTTGTACAGCCAGCCATTCCTAACCCAAGGGGCTTATGCAATGTCGTTCACATTGCATACCTACCGTGGGGCCAAGGGAGAAACTCTGAATTCCTAAGCAAGCAAACTTTTTTATTGTATAAATATGTCGACGATTCACTTTTTCTTCTACCTATGGCTTCAGCTGGGAAGTTAAGAATGAATCGAGTTGTAAATTTATTAGTCGTCGTATCGAATAAGTTGACGCCTTAATCAGTTTACGGTACAAATAAAATTTAACGTTTGCCGAGTTTTTGGAATAATAATCGTTACTGTCTTCATAATTAAACTAAATATGGCACACACAAGTAGATTTTCCTAGTGGAAAGAGTACGTAAAAACTTTTTAGCTGATATGTGACTTTATTCTACATTTCTAAGTATGTAAACTGGTAACTTCATGGATCAGGGCTTAATTCTATGGGCTGAAAATCCTGTTGATAATAATTTGAGGAATACCAACCATATCACTCTTAGAAAATTAAGTACATTAAAAACTTGGACAATTGTCCAGTTTCCTGCTCCATCCAAAACGCCTTTGAAAGACTTCATCACTATTCCACTCTGGTCTTGCAAGCCATGGAGGACACGCAGTTAAAGGAAATAAAGGAACGACTGCAGACTTCTTCTTATTATTATTATCATCCATCCACCCTTTCCACTCTTCAGAACTGAATATTATGAATGAAATTTAAGTCTCATTCTTCCATTATGACGCTTTTTTTGCCGAGGGCTTTCACCATTGAAATAAAATGGTAAATTGAATCCTTACATGTTGAGGGAGGAGGAGGAGAAGAAGTTGCATCATCGCCGACTCCTATTCCACTTCCACCACTCATATATGTAATCACAGATAAATGGTACGCCGAGCGGCGTTTCATGGTTGTCGAGAAAGGGCCAACGACGACTGATGATACGACATTAGAGGAGAGTAAAAGTGGTGCGGATATGAAAGTGTGATGCATATTGGGAGGACATCAGCAAATAGTGGCTGCTGGGAACAAAAGGAGCAGAGACGTCACTTTGGTTCAACATTTGCTTCAACTAGTAGCCTATACTGAATTAATGAACGAACGAGGATCGAGGAGGTGGAGAAGGAAGGACGAGAGTGAAGCGGAATAAATAATCCAGACTCGATTTCCATAAATGATCCGATCCCTCCTCCTCCTTCATGTTGAATTGAAGTCGATCGCATGTCGGTGAGTTTAAGGGATGTCATCCATCCATTCTTTAAAAGATTTTCACAAAACGTTCCATGTCTCCTCTCTTGTCCCTTCGTCTAATAGCTCCTTCTTCTTCCTCCCAATTTATCGACGAGGTGCAAATTCTTGACTTGCTTGTTATTCTTGCAGTACCTTCGGCAAGAGATTGAGAGAAAAGTGTGTAAATATCTACATATCTGCATTAGCCATTTCACAATTTATGCAGATTTGTTACACTGAAATGAAGGAAATGCATGCTCACAACATCAGTCCAATACTTTACTTTAAGGCGTATAATCCTGTCATTTCATTGTCATTTTGATCTCACTTGCTTCGAAATGAGTTTAGCAGAGACTGAGGAGCTTCAGTTTAAAAACAATAAGGAGTAAAAGACGAGATGTTCGTCTGTGTGTCTCATTTGTTTGCTTGGCCCTAATTTAACTTGAGCCCTCGTCCTTCTCTCCATACCAGCTTCCTGTTGTTTCTTCGTTTCCTTTGTGCGCCCACCCGTCACTACTTCAGTCAACTGTCAACGCCTTCTCGATGCAAATATAAATTTCCAATTTTAAGTCGCTCCAGGCAAAGAGCGATGTAAAACTGTAGCGTCGCACGAGAGGCGAGCGATGGAGAAGCCAATTTGTTTCGACATTGATGAGGATAAGGTTGACGACGACAAAACTTTGCTGGAATATATGCAAGGATGAATTTAACATGAATTTTACGGGGGGAAGATAAACATGAGAGAATAACGTACCACCATTTATTACGACTTAAAAACCATTTAATGATGTGGTGTCATAGAAAAACTGTTGAATAAAAGTTATGAAATAATTGAATATCGTAGTGAAGCAATTATTTTCAAACGGAACTCGATTTCTCTCGAATTACATTTTAGATGGAATTCTGCCCGATCTTGAAGAGGGGTTGAATTGGTGGTGCCGTTGAAAAGTTGTTGGAATTGGAGAGAGCAGTGTGGGCGCAACCACACCACGCTCGTCATCATTCTTCTCAAGTAGTGTGGGGTGAAGAACAAATATTTTTGAATTGGGACAATTTATGTCAACTTGCTCTTCTTTCCCTGCTACTGCTGCCATGAGTGAGATCAGGTTTCGACAAAGAAAGTGCCAACTAAAGCAGTAGTAGTGGCGGCGGTCGTAGTGGTGGTGGCATAGGCACGATGACTATCTCTGTGTTGTCATATTGAATTATTTTCTCTCCTCCGTCGTCCTCTTCCTCGTTCTCATATCCCAAGATATAGATGTCAACCTTCAATTGTGCCCGTTTTCTTGGAGCCATTCTCCGTAATCTTACACTTGTCCCTGTCACCTCAAGTTCCATTCACTCTCCATTTTCCCACTATTCTTCTCTCCTCCTCTCCGTATTTGACACCGATATTTCATCCTTATCCTCACATCTCAATCCAATGCACGACATTGAGAGCTTCAGATTTCTGGGATAAGGTTCCTCCAACGTCCTCGTTTCCCATCTTCGACACGATCTTCGCCGTAAGAACTGGGTGAATAAAGTAGTGAATGGTTCGAATTTCCTCAATAGATAGATACCGATTTGTGTGTTAGTGCGTGTGCAGGCAGGAAGTGTGGGGATGATATCGCTCTTGTGATGCTGATGTCTTTAATTTGTAATGAAGGCGCTGTTGAGCTAACCGTTAACTAATGTGGTAGTGACCAAACTCTATACAATAGACTTGTCTCTTGATGAATCAATGTAGCAGGAGGTCCACTTTTCTGAAATCCTGTCCATGCGGTGGGTAATATCGTCCTTATTTTTTCCAGGCTAAGAGGTTTTTTCCACTACTTTATCCCGAGCAGTTGGCAACACTTGAAAGTTCTGCGTATTTGATTCTTTTCGCTATTTCGAGCAGAAATAGAAGTTGCATGCAGTGAAAGGAAGGAAGTGGAGCGAGTGTTGGGTGTAAGTACACCGTGTAAAATATAGGTCCAGTCAGGCTCTCCAGATCTAAATCCGAAAAAAGTGGAGTGGATTGGAGAGAGTGACACGATACCACACTGCACACACACTAAATAAAGTTGTCCTAAATAACTTTTATCATTGTCCAGACCTTTTCAAACATTTATATAAAAAAACTTTCACGGTTCGCAATTGGATTTTATTGGTGGTTTGGAGGGTCCACGATGACGTGGCGAGATTTATATCCCCAAGAAAAGGTAAGGTTTGCAAGATTTTTGCAAGTTTTTGAATATCTTTGCAAGACTTTGTACCGCTCGAGAAGGAAATCGGGTTAGGTAAACTATGCAAATAAATACCCCACACACAAAACCATTACATAGTCATCCCGTCATCCGTAAAATTACTGCAAGGGTTATGTGAAAGCGCAGCATTAATTATGCACACCCACTCACACACACTCCTCAAGTGACATATTCACCCTCTTGGCCTGAAGCGTATCCACTCTACTTTCTCGATTAACTTTCCCAGCATTTGATGAATGGATTAATTGAATAATGTAGCAAAATAAACTCAAGAAAATAGTGGTAGAGCTACATATCTTGCTACGCTTCATTGGAGCTACAATTAAATATTTGACCCATTTACACATAACATCACTATGAGACGATCAAATATATGTATGTATCCTAATTCTTTACTGTCTTCTTACCGAATATTTTTGCATGTCTGAGCCTTTTATGCCCAAAGGACTGAATCATAAATTTTTAGTGATCACAGACCTTTAGAGAAAGTTGGCTTTCAAGTCTGTTCTTGATATTTCAATCTGAACTTCAAATTTGTACCGTGCTTCAGGAGTTATCCTGGAAATCGACGAAAATACAGACAGAAGATTATCATAATCTATTGAATGATGTGTTTAAAAGCTTCAGTAAAAGCTATTCATCAAACTGAACTACATATTTGAACAACTTTCTCCGAAGAAAATAAGACAACTTGTAATTGATTTTCTTTGCGAAAGTGTAAATAATTATTGCCGTTTTGACTTGTCTGTATTACAGAACAGTTCAACGTGCTTTACGAAATGAACTGGACATCCGCGGTGGAGAAGGAGTTGCGAGAGTTTGAGTCGCGAGTCGTCGCCACGGCGAACACGGCAGGATATAGCGACGTCAAAGATGACCTACACTGGACCTTCAGTGGCGCCTTATTGTATTCCGTTAGTATCATCACGACAATTGGTGAGTTTTTTTTACTATCTTATAATTTTTAATACTTAAATTGAAGAAAATTACGAATTTTGCGTTGAGACATTGGTCATGGAAGGTGTTATTTATGCCTAAAACGACACATATTACACGTTCACACTCATACTTAAATGATGCATATTCTTTATATTGCCAGATATTATCAGTGCGTCGTTTTATTGCAAATACGCCTGATTCGCAATGTAATAATAATCTACGATGAAGATGTTTGCATACACTTTTTCCCATAAACGTTGCCTGACTTGAAAGCATAATGTGTTTGCTTTCACATATTAATGTGTGTACTTAGCGATTAAATGACACGATTAAATTAAAATTTTGATAGAAAGGAAGCACAGACCGGAGAGCATTCCAATTTCCAAGCTTCTCTTAGATAAGTGCCATCTAAATCTATAGATTTCAGGTTTATAACTCATTTTCGGAAGGGGTTGGTAGTGAAAAGAGAAGACTCCACTTTTATGGATGGGCCACGCATTGTGTGAGATTGGGTACTGAATTGGATACGATGGGAGAAATTCCTGCTGCTTTCCCCATCAACTCCATTACACGCTTGTATTATTATTGCCCTGCTCATTTCCTGTAATGTTATTTCGTTACACTTGCTCATTCAGTTGGATTGGATCTGTCTTATTATTGAACGCATCCTCAATTTACATCCCACCCGACATGTGCTCCTGTCTTCCATGATAAAGCTTGAAGGGTTGCAAACATAAAAAATAAACTATGTAAGTAACATTCAACTCTGAAAAATTCTAGATTTCAGTTGAGATTAAAAGCAGGAAATTGGCAAATTTAAGTCGGCCCTTTGCATAATGGCACGTTTATAAATATGCAAGGGAAAAACTACTTAGAACTTGCAGAACTGATTATAAGAGATGATATCATGCAAGCTTTGTCTGTATATGCAACAAAGTGGGTCAAGGGGCTTGACATAATTAAGGGCACATCCGAAAGTTGTAAACCATCTCGAGATAATGCTCTCAGAGTGGATGTCGTTATCGTTGACGCCTTTTCCTACAATTAATGTTACATTGTTTCTAGCCAACCTTCGACATTTTTATGGCGTCCATTTTCCACTCTTAAGAAGGACTGTGAAGTGAAATATGTCTCAACATATTTGCACTAATGATACACAGTTCTAGTAGCGGAAACAGCACTAGAGAAATCACATATTTCATAGTAATTTCGCAAAAAATCTTTCACCAGGACGAAATTTGTTCCCAATCGCAACCAGTGCGTGCCGTCTGACTTTTTGTCCAATTCGAATACATCGTTGGTGATCTTATTCAGCGGAAGACGAGGACTCTTCGAAGTCTTTTTTTTGGCTGCTCATGTGCCAGAAAAGATTTAGCAAAAAATCATCATCGAATGAGTTGAATGAAATGTGAGGAGGAGGACAAGTGGAGAAAGACATTAGCAATTGTAATGATATCCGTAATGCATTATTTTTATGTGAATTCATGTAATAAAAAACACCTCCTGGAAGGATATTTGGTGAAAGCGGGTCCACCAGAAGGAAAATGAGTGAGTGAGGAACGGACAATAGGATGCAGGATGAGGAAATGATTTATTCATTTAAATCATGACAACTAACTCCTCCATATCCAACCCCACTCACTCGGGGCAATATTTCCACAGCAGCTACGACCAAACCCTTTACAAACCTTTTTTTCGGAACAAATTTCAAATTCGTGTACCACATGGAAGGAATGGTTTGTAGTTCTAGTTAGTCGTGAGTTACACCCCATGCATCGCCTTGTTTGGCGGTTGGCTGTTGTGTGTGCTGAAACGGGGACGGAAGTTATGGTCCGTTGGGCGATTTTTTGATTTCCAGGCACTCCGAGTACTCTGCAATTCCAAAGATGTGACGCAAACCCTGGAAATGTGGAACGGAGGGAGGGAGGAGGAGGAGGAGGGTAGTGTGCATATCATTGCTGAATTGAGTTGTCCGCTCCTTTCACCAAACAGGAATTTCGCATGACAACTTTTATCGTGTGATCATCGTGACAATGTTTTTTGTTCGATGTACGAATGTACCCAGTTGATTTGTACACGACTAGTTACAAGTTTTCCTCTATACTTGTGTTATTTTCAATTCTTAGTAAGAGGACAACATGTTCCCATACATTTTGTGAACAAAATCAATTTTTGGCCATGTAATAATTTGTATAATTCGACTCTACATAGAGTTAAATTGTGTGTGCAAATCAGAGAACATTTTTATCTGTTTAATCTTCATTGTATACTCCATTAATTCGCATTTGCTCTAATTACATAGAGCTATCTAGTTAGTTGAATGAATAGGACTGGGGTTGGTCTCTGAACAGCAAATAAATACATAAATAACAATGGTAACTAGTTAATTTGGAAGTTAGTATCATTGGATTTTTTCTGATCTTCTTAGACACAATGTAGCAGACGAGGAGCACAACATCGTTGAAAAGGATTCATTCGCTCTCTGTATTATTTGGTTTATTACACTCTTTTGTGAAACAGAGTGGATCCAAAACTATTCCTTAAAATTACATCCATTTAGCAGTGAGTGAATCGCCTTGTCATAGATTATTTTTTTTCGCTTTTTGTCCACACTTACAAAAAGATAGCATCATTAGTTTTAACTGAAGGTCAGAGAGGGCAATATACATTCCGTGCCCTATTTACTTGCTGACAATATACAAGAAACAGAACAAGTTGAATGCTAAATCAGCAAAAAAAATGGCGGCCTCGATTCAATTTTAGATCCAATTCAGATTCAGACATGCAGACGCAAATAAATTTCGTCGAGGAAGGAAGAACCCCCTTTGAACGTTCGAGTCTTTTTTGTCTGGTGAAAAATTGGGCTGAAAATGATACCGTGATTACCGACTTGAGTGGAGTGGACAATATTGACTCTGGCTTTGGGCTTCGACCCTTAAAATATGAGATGACCATCTTTTTTCACAGTTGAGTTCCTTTTAAGTCGTTTCGTGGATGGCGACGAGGGAGCGAGTGAACATCCATCCCGCCGCCGCCAACAGCATTCCCTTATTCCTAATGACAGAATGAATGAGTAGAGTGACCTCAATTAAGGAGAAAGATGACCACCCACTCTTTTCTCCTCATGGCAAAATGTGGAGAAAGTTTCCACTACTGCCAGAATTGAGTGGGAAAAACATTGGTGAGATGTAGTCAGCCAGTAACTTGTGGAAATCATCAAATGGACAACGCGGCTTTGTGGCTCAAATGAATCGTTAAGTATTTGATATTAAAAAGACCTCTTTATTTTCTCCTCCTTTTTTGTTAGTCAATGACTCGTATCTGCTCATTTATTTGGAAATATTCAATTTTGTATACGTATCAGCAGCCCAATGAAAATTACGATATTTATTTTTATCCTTTGAAAAAAGCGAGCAAAAGGAGTTGTGCATTAAAAGTGGCAACGACGATTCATATTTACATATTCCTATACAATGTTAAAAATGATTAGTGTTTCTGTAGCGTGATTCGACATGAGCAACACGTAATACACAGCAATACACATTTACCAAATATATTTTTTGATGCGTATGCAAGATTTCAAAACTGATGAGATTTCTACGAAACAGTTTCTGAGTTTCCATGTGCATCGCGATATTTCATTTCATAGTCATGCATGCATTTTTAACATTCATATTCTTGCCTTCTGATTGAGATTTATGCCTTGGTTATTCTCCACATCTCAACATACCACATTTTTTCCACAGAAAAAAATATACTGACAAGACAATCTCAAATATTATGCTGACAGGCTTATCTTACTGTTTTCTTTTAAGATTGCTCCACAAATTTCAGCATATTTACATATATAGTTTTTAGCAATAAAGTTAAACAACGCCTAATAGCTGAACAGGGTGCATTACATAATCAGAAAATTAGTTACCCTCAATAGAAGTTATGGTATCATCTAATAAGATGCAAATATATGTACATACATTCCTGCATCATTAGGGTAGGACTATTAGAAATTAGTCGGTACTAGGTTGGTGGAGGAGAAATAAAATGAACATTTTTATGTCGAGCGATATTACATACATAAGATTTAGACTACGACACTTAAAAATTAGGAGTAGATTTACTTAAACATTGCAGTATAATAAGTTATCTTGAGAATGAGTTTATAAACCCAAACCCACAATAAAAACATGGCCTTAGTTTTCCCATGACGTGCGCGACATTGTTATGACCACGTCAGCCTTGTCCTTATTAGACACACTTGGACACGGAGAAAGCGGCGAAGAAGAGGAATTTGTAAAGTAAAGTTGCATCCATCGCATACATAGTTTGGAACTGAGTAAAATTCATATTTATCTGACTACTGAAGAATTACTTCCAATTTATTACCTTCATATCACATCCAGCAAAGTTAACCTACAACCCACTTCCTCCATGGCTGCAAACTTTACAAGATAAGTGCCCTCCTTCCCTCGCATTATGACGTTACGTACATAGCGACGCGGCTGGCGTGGGCCTCATGCTGTTCTCGCCAGCGAGATGAACTTATGAAGATGTCTTCCGGCATGCCAATGGCAGCACATTACATTATGTTCCAACGCAACTACACCCACCAAACCGCTACACAATTTCAACATTGTCAGCTTTAGGCTCTCCACTCTTCAGCGTCATACACACCCATAACTCTGTGGCTGTGGACGCAGCGTCGTTGGTCGCAATGTTACGAGGGGAAAATTCATAAGCGGAAATTATTCTATCTCAAAATTTCTTCATTGTTATGAAGCCCTTGGAATGAGTCAACAGCTGTTAGCACCACCTTTGTCCGCTTATTTAGTAGAAAGAAAGTGTTCACGCGGATAATTGTTTGATGTTGATGCAAGATCACTTAATCTTACATAATGCACACCTCCAGCTTCTATAAACCTGCCCAATTACGAGCCCCCACTTTGACCAAGATTATCCAAGCATGAGTGACAAAGGTAAAGTGAACGTAATAAAACCTT